GCTTAGAAGAACCCATGGTGCTGATTGTTGGGGCAAGGTCAGATGAGTCTGGGCATTTAAAGCCTTTGAGATTGACATCACCTGGTCTTCCCAGACGATGATTGAGAACAATCCATGACACTGGCAGGTCTCAGCTTTGCAAAGGGGGCAGTGCATGCTATAAATTCTGCAGGGTGCCCAAACTTTTGCAGACGCCATTTTTTTTTGTTTTCTGTTATTTTGAAAGTGTAAATGATGGAAATAAAATCTAACTTTTGTTGACATATTATAAGAATGTCTAATCTGTAATTTGATGCCTTTTGGAGATTTTTCCATCTTTCCTTGGCTTCTTTATGCACATTAATACAAATTTTTAGCTGGGGTGCCCAAACGTTCGATCCCCACTGTACATGTTATAAAGTTACATGCTTTATATCCAGTGCTGACACTCTGAGCCCCATATATGTATGAACCCGTCATTTGTAATATTTTACATAGGCTGTAAACACGTCTGTTGAGTCTATTGTTACAAGCTATCAAATAGAATGCTCTAAAATTACCTTTAAAGGATAGATATATTCAGGCCCAAAAAATAGGTCAAGGCATTTTAGACTGAGCAGCCCCAAGGCCCTTCCCTTGGAGCCCGGTGCGACCTTTGTGACCCAGGTAGTTCCGCCACAGGTGTCAACTTATTTTTATTTTATTTTCTTCTTATTTTTGTACTATTTTATTTTATCTATTTGTTTTCCAAAATTTTATTTTTTTTATTATTTTTACATTTTTCTTTTAGGAGCCCCGTTGGGGGATTTTGGGGAGATATCAGGGGTCTAAACAGACCCCTGATATCTCACCTTGCAGACAGAAAAAGGAGATTGAGGACACAGCCTTCAATCTCCATGTCTGCAGCCTCAGCTGCACATAATGAATGGACAGGAATACAGGTCTGTACAGAGCTTCCCATTCATTCACAATTTGAAGTATAGTAAACACAGTTTACTATGCCTCAGCTATTAATGGACAAAGTCAGAGATCAGTACCGATCACTGACTGTCCATTCAGACAAGAAAGGGGTGGGTAAATGACATCCTAACAGATCCCCCGCAGCAGCTGGTGGGAAGGGAGGTGGGTCTAGGAGAGAGTACACGGGGGCCCCGGAGAGAGCACAGGGGAACCAGGAGAGAGGACAGGGGCCCGGGGCAGCAGAAAGAACATGGATATGAGGGGCAGCAGGCAGTATATAGAGGAACCGATCCATCCATTCCTCTCCTGCAGCCACTGAATGCCTGCAGGGGGTAGAGGAGGAGAAGCAAGCATTCAGCAGTGGCAGGAGGGAAATGGACGGATACGCTCCTCTATATGTTGCCCCCTCAATCCCTCCTATCCAGGCAGCCCTGGCCACCGTGCAAATGCCTGGTGTGCACTATGGCCAGTCTGGGCTGGATATGTGTTTATGCCATGCTATTTAAAATGATATGAAACCCTCAGTTTTTTAAACACCTGATTTAATCACTTACTGAGTATGCAGCTTTTTACATTTTAATCCTTGTCTATGTTTAGATTTAGGTTTCCTGTTTCAGGGTGGCTCCTGTATCCTGCAGTGTCCTATGGAGCCACACTTGCATGCAGGGACTAGAATTGTGTCTCCTTACACTGTGTGCATCAATGGAAACACACAACCCTATATCCAAAGATCACAAGGCACTCCCCTGCTTCTCCCTCTAACAGACTGCATATAGACAAAACTGTATTTCCTGTGAAGAACAGAAATTCAGGGAAGCAGCCCCGGGGGAGAGCAGGAGCCAGCAGCATTTAAAAGTTGTAAAGTGCTAAGGGAAAAGAATTTTAACCAACAGTTTACTTTTTTGTTTTGTGTTCAGCGTGTTAATAGAAAAGAAAAACCCTGAAGGTTTAATACATTGTACTACTTTAATTTGGCTAGCACTGATTTCTCAGATGTAGTTGGTTGTATGCATGTGCCAAAACTTTGATAACATACAATATGAATAAAAAGAGGAATGCAGCAGATAGGCATAATCGATTATTTATCTGCACATAAAATGTTCAGTATGTTTCATATAATAGGAGTGCAGCAATCACATACATTACTGATAAAAGATAATATGAACTGAATATGTGGAACAAAGACAGGGAACGTGAATGGTAACAATTAGGAATACCACTAGAGGGAGACAAATACAACTACAATGCAAGCTGTAAACTGTGTACTGGCTGTCTAAATAAAAGCAACGCATATTTGATAAAAAAAAAAAATCTAGACACACATAAACATATAATTTGTGGTCAGTTACTAATTTTGTATGGCAAATGCATGATCTGAAAATGTATGGCCCTTATAATTTAAATATTGACTGGTATATTAACTGTTTTATAGATACAAGTTAAAGTGTTACTAAACCCAGGACCCTGCATTCACTATATCTGGTCTCCCCGGACCCTGCATTCACTATATCTGGTCTCCCCGGACCCTGCATTCACTATATCTGGTCTCCCCGGACCCTGCATTCACTATATCTGGTCTCCCAGGACCCTGCATTCACTATATATCTGATCTCACTCGGACCCCGCATTCACTATATCTGGTCTCCCAGGACCCTGCATTCACTATATATCTCTGTGATCTCCCCAGACCCTGCATTCACTATATCTGGTCTCCCTGCACCCTGCATTCACTATATCTGATCTCTCCGGACCCCGCATTCACTATATGTGATCTCCCCGGACCCTTAATTCACTATATCTGGTCTCCCACAGTACACACATGGAAATTCAATTATTTTAGTAAATAAAAACTGCTAAATCCCTTTTCTCATCAGCAGTTAGAGCAGTCTTGTGACTTCTCTCAGTGTTCAGCAGAGCACTGGTTAAAGCTTGTAGGAGGAATTTTATTTCTGTTCTAGGAGGATGCAGAACCCCTGACCTCTGTCTGGACAGTGCTGATTGGCCCTGTGCTGATCACGTGCACTCTCCCAAGAAAAAAAAAAACTCTCTAGCAATTCACACCAAACTGAGCATGTGCAGAGTGTCTCCACTCAATATGTTTTATCAGAAGCTAAGAGGGAGACACTGGAAGAAGGGGAGGATCAGAGAAGTCAGGATCAAACAGTATTTTTAAACAATGCAGAGGATTAACCCCTTAGTTTTCATAGTGAGTATAACAAGCATGCTTTACTGCATATACAGCCTGATTTTACTGTTGGGGGTTTAATAACACTTTAATTCTCTCAATTTTTTTATTTTATTTTATTTATTTCTTTTTGGTTTGATTCATATTAGGAAGGTCCAAGTATAAATATATTTAACCTTTTTAAATTATCTCTGGATTCTTTTTTAACTATCTCCATATCGTTCTTATAAGTAGACAATTTTTATATCTTTATATACTTTTTATGTTTTTATATGATTTTTTTTTAAATGAAATACTTAAGCACATGTGACTTTATACCATATTTTTTTTTTGTATATTATTCACTATATATATAATCATTAGTGAATCCGTTTACATTGTGCATTCTTTTTTTTTTTTAAGATGATTTATTTATTAGTTACTTGGAGTGAAATACTATGTAGTTTCTATGTAGTAGTCATTATTGACCAAAGTTTAGGTGGTGATATAGACCCTTTAATAGTAAGGCCAGCTATTAGTAAGCTTCGGGAGATAATCTCTGAAAATATGGCGGCGATATAGGACTATATTAACATGGCTTCCAGTAACCGGTAATCTTCGGGAATATGGCGGCGATATAGGTCTATATTAACATGGCTGCCAGTAACCGGTAATCTTCGGGAATATGGCGGCGATATAGGTCTATATTAACATGGCTGCCAGTAACCGCGATATAGGTAATAAGCTTCGGGAATATGGCGGCGATATAGGTCTATATTAACATGGCTGCCAGTAACCGGTAAGCTTCGGGAATATGGCGGCGATATAGGACTATATTAACATGGATGCCAGTAACCGGTAATCTTCGGGAATATGGCGGCGATATGGGTCTATATTAACATGGCTGCCAGTAACCGGTAATCTTCGGGAATATGGCGGCGATATGGGTCTATATTAACATGGCTGCCAGTAACCGGTAATCTTCGGGAATATGGCGGCGATATGGGTCTATATCAGCGGTTCTCAACCTGGGGGTCGCGACCCCTTTGGGGGTCGAACGACCATTTCCCAGGGGTCGCCTAAGACCATCGGAAAACACATATTTCCGATGGTCTTAGGAACCGAGACACCGCTGCAGTCTCCGGCGATGTGTGGGCGGGATGATACGCTGCTGTCACCTGGCCACACCTCCGGGATCGCTCAGCAGCTCCGCCTCCTCGCCGCTGATTGGCCACCGGAACTGTAGCTCAGGAGAGGCACACAGGCGGCCAATCACCGGCGAGGAGGTGGAGTTTGGAGAGGAGGAGCCGAGCGGCAGCGCGCGTACATCAAAGAAGACCGAGGGAGCTGCCGGAGCGAGTGAAGAGGAGAGCGGCCAGAGAAGGAAGACAGCTGACAGGTAAGTGAGAGAGCGAGCCCAGGCTGGAGCAGGGGTCAGCAAAGTAAGTATCATTGGTGTCAGTGGGAGGAATAGTGCCCCATCATTTGTGTCACTAATACCAACGATGGGGCACTATTCCTCCCCCCACTGACACCAACGATGGGGCACTATTCCTCCCCCCACTGACACCAACGATGGGGCACTATTCCTCCCCCACTGACACCAACGATGGGGCACTATTCCTCCCCCCACTGACACCAACGATGGGGCACTATTCCTCCCCCCACTGACACCAACGATGGGGCACTATTCCCCCCCACTGACACCAACGATGGGGCACTATTCCCCCCCCCCCACTGACACCAACGATGGGGCACTATTTCCTCCCCCCCTGACACCAACGATGGGGCACTATTTCCCCCTCCCCCACTGACACCAACGATGGGGCACTATTCCTCCCCCCACTGACACCAATGATGGGGCACTATTCCTCCCACTGACACCAATGATGTGGCACTATTCCTACCCCCCACTGACACCAGTGATGGGGCACTACTCCCCCCACTGACACCAATGATGGGGCACTATTCCTCCCCCCACTGACACCAATGATGGGGCACTATTCCTCCCCCACTGACACCAATGATGGGGCACTATTCCCCCCACTGACACCAATGATGGGGCACTATTCCTCCCCACCAATGACTCCCCACTGACACCAATGATGGGGCACTATCTCCTCCCCCATGACACCAATGATGGGGGCACTACTCCCCCCACCTGACACCATGATGGGGCACTATTCCTCCCTCCCCCACTGGACAACCAACGATGGGGCACTATTCCCCCCCCACTGACACCAATGATGGGGCACTACTCCTCCCCCACTGACACCAATGATGGGGCACTATTTCCTCCCACACTGACACCAATGATGAGTGCACTATTCCTCCCACTGAACCAATGATGGGGCACTATTCCTCCACTGACACCATGATGTGGCACTATTTACTCCCCCACTGACACCCAGTGATGGGGCACTACTCCCCTGACCAACCCCACTGACACCAGTGATGGGGCACTACCCCCAACTGACACCAGTGATGGGGCCACTACTCCCCCCACTGACACCAATGATGGGGCACTACTCCCCCCACTGACACCAATGATGGGGCACTACTCCTCCCCACTGACACCAATGATGGGGCACTATTCCTCCCACTGACACCAATGATGGGGGCACTATTCCTCCCACTGACACCAATGATGGGCACTACTCCTCCCACTGACACCAATGATGGGGGCACTACTCCTCCCACTGACACCAATGATGGGGCACTACTCTCCCACTGACACCAGTGATGGGGCACTACTCCTCCCACTGACACCAGTGATGGAGGCTACTACTCCCCCACTGACACTCCTCCCATATCCACTGACACCATGATGGGGCACTACTACTCCCCACTGACACCATGATGGGGCACTATTCCCCCCACTGGACACCAATGATGGGGCACTACTCCTCCACTGACACCAATGATGGGGCACTACTTCCTCCCACTGACACCAATGATTGGGGCACTACTCCTCCCACTGACACCAATGATGGGGCACTACTCCTCCCACTGACACCAACGATGGGGCACTATTCCTCCACTGACACCAATGATGGGGCACTATTCCTCCCACTGACACCAGTGATGGGCACTATTCCTCCCACTGACACCTGTGATGGGGCACTATTTCCCCCACTGACACCAGTGATGGGGCACTACTCCTCCACTGACACCAACGATGGGGCACTATTCCTCCCATGACACCAACGATGGGGCACTACTCCCCAATGACACCAATGATGGGCACTACTCCTCCACTGACACCAACGATGGGGCACTATTCCTCCCACTGACACCAACGATGGGGCACTATTCCTCCCACTGACACCAACGATGGGGCACTATTCCTCCCACTGACTCCAACGATGGGGCACTATTCCTCCACTGACACCAACGATGGGGCATATTCCTCCCACTGACACCAACGATGGGGCACTATTCCTCCCACTGACACCAACGATGGGGCACTATTCCTCCCACTGACACCAACGATGGGGCACTATTCCTCCACTGACACCAACGATGGGGCACTATTCCTCCACTGACACCAACGATGGGGGCACTATTCCTCCCACTGACCACCAACGATGGGGCACTATTCCTCCCACTGACACCAACGATGGGGCACTATTCCTCCCACTGACACCAACGATGGGGCACTATTCCTCCCACTCTGACACCAACGATGGGGCACTATTCCTCCCACTGACACCAACGATGGGGCACTATTCCTCCACTGACACCAACGATGGGCGGGGGCACTATTCCTCCCACTGACACCAACGATGGGGCACTATTCCTCCACTGACACCAAACGATGGGGCACTATTCCTCCACTGACACCAACGATGGGGCACTATTCCTCCACTGACACCACGATGGGGGCACTATTCCTCCCACTGACACCAGTGATGGGGCACTATTCCTCCCACTGACATCAGTGATGGGGGCACTATTCTCCCACTGACACCATGATGGGGCACTATTCCTCCCACTGACACCATCGATGGGGCACTATTCATCCACTGACATCAGTGATGGGGCACTATTCCTCCCACTGACACCAGTGATGGGGCACTATTCCTCCCACTGACACCAGTGATGGGCACTATTCATTCTCCACTGACATCAGTGATGGGGCACTATTCTCTCCCACTGATACAACGGATGGGGGCACTATTCCTCCCACTGACATCAGTGATGGGGGCTATCCTTCCACTGACACCAATGACATGGCACTACTCCTCCCACTGACTGATCAGTGAAAATTACAGTATGAAGTAGCAATGGGAAATATAAATTTTATGGTTGGGGGTCACCACAACATGACTGAAAATGTATTAAGGGGGTCGCGATCGCGGCATTAGAAAAGGTTGAGACCACTGGTCTATATTAACATGGCTGCCAGTAACCGGTAATCATCGGGAATATGACTGGGCGATATGGGGTTATATTAACATGGCTGCCAGTAACCGGTAATCTCGGGAATATGGCAGGGCGATATGGGTCTATATTAACATGGATGCCAGTAACCGTAATCTCGGGAATATCGGGTGTAAATATGGCTGGGGAATATTGGCGGCGATATGGGTCTA